TGATGACGTATTTTTTGACAGTAAAGTTCCGTCTGTGAATTCGTATTCGTACTGATGAAAGCGTAATCGTAAATTTTCATTTCGTGATTGTAATTCATGACGTCGTAATTTTTCAATTCGTATTCTGATGGATAAAATACACACAATATATTTTATGTACGACTGGACTCATTTGAGAGTTTACAAATATTTATTTTATGCGCAACTACAGCCAAATATGCACGGATTTCTATTTTATGCGCATGAATATTTTTGACAGCTTTCTTACTCCATATACTTTTACTTTTTGTCATTTAACCAATCGCTGCTGTTTGGTCGTGATGTACATCATGCGCGGCTAACGGGGCTAACTGGTATATTAAGCTTTTCCCAGATCCCGTAGGAAGAAGGACAATAACGTCTTTCCTCTTGATAAAATTCACCAAACATTCTCTTTATTCCGGCTTTAAACCCTCAATCTCGAGAATCATTGACAACGCAGAATATATGACTCTTCACTGATTGGCCGGTGCCGATCTCGCACTTCCGGGGTTTTTGCAAACATCTATTGTATTCTGATTTCTGACCAAGTCGCTGGTGTCATGTTTTTGTAGCCGTTGTTTTTGCTTATGTTGATATCTTTTTCCTGTAGTGTAGTGCGCCTTTAGTGTTTTATTTTGACATTTGTCCTGTCAGCTTGTAGTTTTGCGTTTTACTTCCTGTCTTGATTGTTTGCTTCGCCCTAATGTGTTTCACCCGTGTCTGTGTGCGTTTATACCCTGTGTTCTCCTCTGCCCTTTGTTGGTCCGTTGTCTCTGTCAGAGTTTTTCCTTGTCTCATGTCATGGCAGCTTAGTTCAAGTTTTGGATTTTTTTGGATTTGTCATTAAAGACTTTGAAGCAGTCCTGCGTTTTGGGTCCTCCTTCTGTTTCTACGTGACAGCTGGAGAGAAATTAAATTGAGCGGACGTCATTTGCCAAAAATAAAACTGCTAATATCTTACACAAATGAAACTTTTTGCAGCACAAACGAAACACAAACGATTGACTCCTTTTTGGGGCGTTTGAGAGCGTTTTGAAGTTTCCTGGAGGCCTGCCTGACCCTAATTTAACTTATAAAAGAATCGTTATTATCTCAAAAACTAAAGGAGCACAAACGAAACTTTTTGCAGCACAAATGATTGACATAGTTTTTGTGTAAGTTTGCGTTTGACGGAGGCCCAACTTCCCTGAGTTTTGCCTCACTCACCTGTTGTCGTTCACCTAAACCTGCTCTTTCTGCTCAGATTGCGTGAAAACAAAACTCAAATTAAAGTCTAACAGAGCTTCAGACAGAGCAGAGCCTCCATTTAGCGTCACAACCCCAGGGAATATTAATAACATCAGCGACGAAGTATCAATAACTGTTTTTTTTTCTACACTAGAAGCAAAGGATCATGGTCAGTGTTGTTCTTTGTGCTTTTACACCAAACGATGCATGACGATATAGAAGCGTAAAGTCTTTATTTATGATTTTTGTACTATTGCTCGACGTTTTATAGAACTGTTATTGTTACATCTCTTCACAAAGCAATGCATTTGGCTTTATATGCTCTTCATCGCCCCCTGTTGTCCATCATCATCGCCAACGCCATCATCATCATCAGCCATTCTTCATATTTTAGTCCAAACCATCACGTAACAGTCATGCATTCACTCAGCTGTCTGTCCCTGCATCTTCTGCTTTTTACTGCATGCCAAAGAGTCTTCTAATACCCACCAGCATGAAAAAAAAAAAAGAAAAGAAATCAAAATAAGAAAATTAGCTGAAAACGTTTGATAAAAATGCACTGAATCGCTGCACAGCTCTGATCGAGTTTTGTTTGTTGTTTGTGCTTTTGCTGCCAGTCGTTTCACCTTGAGATCTGAGTCACAAAGTTCATTTTTTTAGCCGTTCCTTTTGGTTTTTTTATCTGTTTTTGTCACATTTAGGTACATGGCATTGTGGGAAAGGCAGGGTAAATGTGGCAGGTTATGTCAGGAAGGGCATCTGGCGTAAAACAAATGATGAAGGAGGAAAGAGGGAGGACACATTACCTCGATATTTAAAAAAAAAAAGTACTATAATCACAAACGAACAGAGTCGACAGAGCCTCAAAGGTGCACACTGGCCACGTTTACATGATGTTTTTTTTAATTCCAGACTAATTATTCTGAATTAAAACACGTTAAATTGCCTTTATTTAATTGTGCTCAGCATCTGGGGGTGGGGAAGGGCTCTGATTGGACAGAGACGCGAACGTATTTACGTCGACCGGAAGAAAATACAAACTTCAGCTGCTACCGGCTTTTTTGTCGTCTCGGTTTGTCGTTACGCCACGAACGCAAACACGATCCAAACTTGATAACGAAGCAGAAGCTGGAGGATTCTCGCTTTAGGAAGTATCAAAGGAATAATGTCGAAGAAGGGAGGAAGAAGACAAACTCGGGGCCTGTTTACACGCGAACGCTTGCAGGTACGACAAAATATTTGATCAGAAGTGCCTTTCGTTTAGACGGTGACGGCGTTTTTGGGGTTTAAAAACACAAAAATCTCAAACCACCTCCAGAGTGGAAAAGTTGAATACACTCCGCCGCAGTGTTTCCGTCTACACCACAGGTGTCAAACATACGGCCCGGGGGCCAGATCCGTCCCTCCAAGACCTTTTAATCTGGCCCTTACTAAAGAATTCTAGCTGAACTAATATTTACTAAAATTTTAGTATTAAAACAAAAATATTTTTATTTTAATTAAAATTTATTGCAATTTTGTGGTGTTTATCACAGCAGCGTCTCCAGCGTCTCTGTACGTGGCCCCTCCCAGAACCAGAGCAGCACAAATGAAGACTTGTTTAGTTTAGTTTAAAAAAAGCCCCATTAGCTGCTGAAGACATCCCCAGTAGCTATTCTGGGTCCTGGTCAGTTCCAACTTCCTTTGTCTCCAAAATTGTCTTTTCAAACGCTTCTTAAAGGACGATCGTTTTGACTGTTGACTGTGACCTCCCTCATCAGAAAATGTCAAAAATGTCAGAAAATGAGAAGTGTTCCGAGTGCAACAGATTTTCCAAGAGAAAATTGACTTATTCCTATTTGCATACGTTCATGTTAAAACATTGTGTTGAAATTGCTTCTTTTTTTTTAAGCTTCAGTTTGTTCATAATATTATCAAATTTTTGTAAAAGAAAGAGATTGTTCAATTAAAAAGATTTCTGTAATAGATTTGTGTTTCTCTGCACAAATATTTGAACTTATTGTTTATTTTGGGGTTTATAATGACATGAGTTTTGTGATCCGGCCCCTTTGGGATCAAAGTAGGTTGGATACGGCCCCCGGACCAAAATGAGTTTGACACCTCTGGTCTACACTGTCCAAGACGCAAAACTCTGGTCAGATCTGCTCAGGTCACGTACACGTTTACGTCACAAACATACAGTACACAGAAACAAATATCATTTCATCATTTCCATGCGTCGGACCTTCAAGTTGCTCTGACAGCTTTAATAAACTTACAGGAGGCTCCCAACAAATGTACAGAATCTGCAGAGACGCTATTAGTGAACAGAGAAGAATCTGCAATCAACTCTGTCAAATTCTGGATGCACAAGGTCGTCGCAGGCGAGTCAGACGGATTCGGACGAGACCCGGAGAACCAGTAGATGGCGGGACAACTTTGTGAACGGAGGAGCTGATGAAAATGCGTGGTGTGAAAACTTTCGTATGTCCAAAGATGCTCTTGTTGCTTTAAATACATGCAGACCATATCAAATTCCACACACTTTTGCGTCACCGTGTGCACGCAGATTTCCTCACGAAACACTCGTCTAAACGCGGAATAAAAAGTGAAGACGCGACGCCACTTTTACGGTTTTCTATTCAGACTCTGATCATATAAACGTAGCCTGAGTCAGCGGCTGCTCTACCTCAGCCCACTCCCACATCCCGCTCACAAATCCAAAGAGACGTGGATGAAAGTCCGAAGTCCGAACCGGTGGAGCCGGATCGTTCGGATCGCGTCAGAAGGGCGACACAACGAGCATGCGCCGAACGACCAGAATTATTTTTAAGAAGAATAAATGTTTACATGATCGAAGAATAAATTAATTTGGCTTTAAAAGTGTAATAAACCACCCACTTACTTTGGAAATAAGTTTAATTCAAATAATAATTTTCTTTAGGATTTATGTGTTTACATGGTATTTTTAAAGTGGAATAAATTTTTATTCAGATTTTAATTATTTTCATTCAGAATTAAAGCTCTCATGTAAACGTGGCAAGTGTAACTTTCTGGTTGGGGGTCCGTCACCTGCTTGTTTCTGTGGATACGTCATTACTCTGCCTGGAATGTTCCACAGTGTGGCATTAAACAGCTCTACTTTACATTTATTCAATTCAAAGTGGTTTTAGAGCTCAAAAATACCTAGAAAAACAACATTCTGACTGAGAGCGGGGTCGCCTCTCCACAGATCTGACCTGTAACTTCGGTCCAGTTTGGTTTCTGTAAAGATAGAAAGGTTTAAAGCCGTACTGTGAAACATTCCAGACAAATCAACGACATCTGCATGGAGAAGAAAAGCATTTGACGGACCTCAGAAACCACCAGAAAAGTTACACAATGCGCCTTTTAACCTGCAGATAGAGAGAATTTTATGCCAGATGCCCTTTCAGAAATACTGCCATCAAATCACAAGTTCCCACAATATTGAATTTGATTGACACAAGTTTTAATTTCTCACATATTCTAGTTAAATATCAGATCCACCTTTTCATAATTTTCCATCAAACTCTAAGATTACCACCATCCATTTCACCGTACGGTTTAATCACATTCCATATCCATTTCATATATTTTCTGTCTTAATTTATGCATGCTCTATATGTCATCCTCTCACGGTAAAGTCATGTTCACGTTTGGTTTTCATTTCCTGGTGGTTTTAACGCCGTGGACTTCATCTCGTCTTCATTATTAGTGTTTGTTTTTTCTGTGTTTTTGTTCCGTGTGTTTAGGCTACGCTCCCGTGACTGGGATGTGCCACCCTCTGAGGAGTTGCACCCTCAACCACGAAGACGGATTCTCCTCTGCGTTTGTAGTGGCCCACGAGACTGGACACGT